GTGGACATCGAGCTAGAGTTTGGTGGTAGAGGAATTTTAGTAGATTGTGACTGTGAACACAATATAGGATAGTTTCGTTTTGTTCGATAATTTCCAACATCAGCTGGAGGCAATTTCATGTTTGGTTCGATAATTTGCTTTTTTCTTGGATCAGATTCAGTTGTTTTCAGACATTACAAGGTTTTCACATTCTGATTTTCAGATCTATAAGCATTTTGGTAAAGAAACTATTTTGGCAAGGTTTAGGTCGAGTGATGCCAAAGAAGCAACTTATTCCGATGAGTTCATATGTCATAATTTCGAGTTATCTTGTGAATACGCTGTGTTGATAAAGTCGAATAGAATTGCATTACTCTGCCGTGGTTTCAGAACATCTTCGAATGATGTTAGCACTCCTTTATTTGTGCATTTGGATGGATGCCTCTTACTCGAGATTTAAAATGGACCCCCTTTATTTGGAAAATGATTAATATAGCTCAAAGCATCTCTCTCATTTTCGGTTCCATTTATTGGTTGGAAAGCATTCTATCATGAAGGTACTTGAAGAATAATGTTCCACCTAATGCTGTAACCATATTTTTGTTCTAAAAATAGAACTCAAATTGAACGGTGGTGTTTGGTGGCCGCTCCCGAATGGATCTCGCGGCACGTGGCCACAGGCCGCCGGGGCAGCCGACCCGGTCCGGACCTGACACGATCAAACCCGTTGACCACGGGTCCGAGTCCGGACCGAATTTTCGACGGGCCAATTTTCATCCAATGTCAAACTTTTAGTATATAACACTAATACTCCCTTGGTGGGAAAGAGATTCTAGATATCTCTATATGTTGTATGTCTTGCAATACTAGGGAAAAGTTCCCTTGGTGGGAAAGAGATTCTAGATATCTCTATATGTTGTATGTCTTGCAATACTAGGGAAAAGTTCATTTATAGGCTTCGATAGAGACCTAAGAAGACATTAAATTGGGCTTTACATATCTAGGCCTACTGTGAGCCAAGCCTACTTGCACAAATATAAATAATACAATCATTCTACTAAATTATTATTATTGAATTCTCCCAATTTAATTTTCAAATTACAATTTGAGCTCCACTTTTAAAATACTCAAATTACCTCCTCATGTTTAAGATATAATACCGTCAATTTATTTAATTACAGATAATTAAATTAATCGGCTTCTTGAACCGAAACTTGCACCATTCAGTGTATTATTATTATGTCAGAACTTAATCCACATGCACAGTTTGACATAACTATCCCTTTGAATTCACTTTCGGGACATCATCAAACCTATATTTTGTGAAATTAAACGGTGACCGTAAAATATTATAACATAACACCATGTCATGTAGGAGTCACTACCCAAAACTGACAGTTATTGGTCAATATTAATAAACCTTACTTTGTTGAATCAAAGTAGTAACTGCCACATACATGTGTCTGTTTATATCTTACGGGTTAAGAAAGCGCAATAATTAGTCGAGGTCTAATTTGTTTATGGTGATCAGTACAAAACAAACTGTTCGTTTTTGCCATCTACTCAATATGTCAATGTGTACTAATGTGACTAATCAGTCGAGACTGACTATACCGTCCACACTACAACCATTCCAATGGCTTGTTCAATTTTCATCTAGTTTGTGAACCAAATTCCTTATGTTTCGCAAGTAACCGGATAAATGATCTTCAGTCCATCCGTGATGAACCATTTATCTAAATGCAAAACAATAGAACATAGAACTCTATTTAATCAAACACGAAATCTCATTCAACATAAATAGTGTGAATAACATCTAAAGCCAAACTTTCAGTATACACAATAAAAGTGACTAGATTCGTGCCTTTAGGTTGTGCCTCGATCTCTGAGGGTCATTGTTGGCTCTCGTCTCGCGCGCGGTAGAGGAGCATCTTGGCGGTTGCTGAAGAGAGTTTTATTGTAGTTATTGCTTGTTTGGTTTTATGGTCTATGTTGGTTTCGTAAGTGTTTGTATTTTTTGTGGTGTATATTCTCGCCTTTGAGAATCCATATTCTCTACATGTGGGCGTATTTGTGGTATTCTTCCTTTAGGAAAACGTTGTCTCCACTTGTGGATGTGTGGATTCCAAATTACCGCTTGTGTAGTCTTTTCCATTATTATAACTGAA